TTCCCATTTTGTTTAATCCGTTTTACGTTACAATAATATTACGGCTAGTGTTAAAAGATGACTTTAAAAAGGGCAGGAAAGATAGTTTAAACGTTCTGCATGAAATGTACATTGTGCATATCACCCGTATTGAATGTAACAAGGGGAGATTATATAGATATTTTTACTACTTCTCAGAACAAATGTTATTTATTATTAAATGTTTCCATATATGAGAATGGAGGGTAATAAAGGAGATAATGCTTATTTATTAAAAAGTACACAAACATAATATGCATCATAAGTAATAATAATATTACTAATAATAATAATAACAATAATAATAATAAATTTGATAATAATTATTATTATAATTATTATTATTATTATTATTATTATTATTATTATTATTATTATTATGATTATTATGATTAAGTAATCCCAATTGATATTGTTTTGGTTATCTTTCTAAGCTCCAAAGAGAACAAAGAAACTTTAGACCTGGATGTGGACCAGCGGTGGCTGCTCCTCAGAAAGCCCTCCCATGGGGTGGAAGCGCTCTCCCCAGAAAACGAAACTGCGGAAAAGTTTAAGCAGAAAGAAACTTAAAACAAATAGACTCGTATAATTTGTGCATACCACCAGCGCAAGGTCTGAGGATGAATTAGGTTTTAACTGCCTGACTAACCGAAATGTAAATGTTTTAAGAATAGGTCGCTTCGTCGACCAGCATAAGTCCGTTCGTAGCTGCTGCATGGGAGGCAATGGAAGCTTGAGGGGGAGTGGGGGTTCTAGAAGTTAGGTGGGGGCAGCGTGCTGCTATTAGGGTTTTGTTCAGCAGAATCCGCGGCTATTAACTAAGCTGAAAATACCAACAGTTTCATCTGATTTCATGAATATACTCTTTAGGTTGCTTGAAATATTTTTTTAGAACTCTTATTTTTGCGGGAGCACAATTGTATCTCCAGTTATCAACCTAAAAGTTACGTTTGACCGAAATATCGATACGTGCAAATTAGTTCTACATTGTATGCTGTAGTTTTCCTCGTTCAGGGAATATCTTGAAGAGGTAAAACATGAATGACAGTTCGGACGTACATGCAATTTCTAATTCGCAACCTATTCGCATTCGCCTTTGATGTGGCCTGAAGCCTTTTCACTGCGGTCAGAGCTGCGTGTGGTGGAGGAGTGCGGTGAAAGATCCGCTCGCAAATGAACTTCGTCTTCATGACCCGTGCTGCAGGAGACGTCACAGCAACACATACTGTACTTTGCTTTTATTATTTCTGATAAAGCCCTTTACAACTGGATAGGGCGAGTTACAACTGGATAGGGCAAGCCCTTCACAGGATGGATAGGGCAAGTTAATTCTTATCCGACATTGGATACCAGATATCGGATATCGGATATCAACGAGGACATTATTGAATTCAATGAGATAAATTGACTAAGACACGGTTTTCATGATTATTTCTGACGAAATAAGTCAAACATGCTGTAACTCTTTCTACGTATTACCTTTATTGTAAGTTATATCGATGTAAACATTGTTTTTGTTTCTTTCTCAAACTAATAATCTTCATGATGAATGTCAGTTCCTTTCAGTTGAAATGTGCCGAATTCTGCAATGGTATAAGTCTAGGAGTGAAATAGTAATTTTCATTAACTTAAACAGTTTAAGGTTTAGTTGGAGATCTAGTATGGTGTAGTGAATACATGTGGGGCTCAGAGTGAAACGCGGCTTGATGAGGTGAACTTTTAACTTAAGCAACTTTAAATTAACTTCAGGTTAAACTTTAAATTCGGTTATCTAAGAAGATAACCGAATTTAAAGTTTAACCTGAAGTTTTTAAAAATCTATTTACATTATAATGAATAATCATCACAAAAGATTTTTTGTTTGTCGTCTTGGCTACCTTTTCAGATAATTATCCTTTTGATATTACTTTCTGATTTAAAAATTTTGAATTATTTTTTATTAATATATTACTTTGCAGCACACAGTGTAACCCCAGACAGACCCCCACCCCAGACAGAACTAGCTGTAAACGCCTGTCTGGTGTCCGACTTGTGTAGAGGTGTGGTGCTTATAAATTGGTGTTTGAAAGGAGAGAGAGAGAGAGGATAGGTCTAGGAAGAGGAAGGGAAGATCGCGTGCGATCCAAGACCCGCTGTTAGGGTTCTTCCACGACACTCGCCTGATGAAATCATGAAAACCTTTCGATCAGTGCAATGGTTACTACAAATTCTTCCCTTTTATGATTGATTATTTTATATTTCGATGTCCTGGTCACATAGCTAGAAAACACCTAGCTGAAAATTTTGGTCGTTCAAGGATTTTCATTTGTCCGCCAAACATTAAACGAATGTATCTCGAAACTGCTTGTGATTATCTTTCATTATTTGACTTCCTTAGGTCAACTATGACACTTCAAATTATTGTTCCTTAAAACCGTAAGTCGTCTTAATGCAATATTTGGAATCGGAATTTGCTTATTAAACATTATTACATATTCTGGATTTCCTTTCATTTATTTTTTATTTCACTTCGAACTAGAGAAAGTTTCTTCTGCACAAAATTCTTTCTCAAAAATAGTCTCATCGTATCAGTTAATCTCCCATCACCGCTTCCCGCCACCGACTCTTTTTCTCTTTCCTATCAACCCCAACAACTTACGTATTTTCTTTCAACACTCCTTCGCTTCATCGTGCATGTCTTTCGAGCTGAAACTCCCCCTCCCCCTCCCGGCGCTGGCCCTGCTCGCGCCAAGTCCGTCCTTCGTCGCTGACGACCGGAGGTGGAATTATATTCAAAGCGGAAGCAACAGGATCGGCGATGCTAGTCAACCAAAGGGGGAGCTAAGTCTATTTCTGCTCATTCTCACCCTGATTCATACTCGTAGTTTCCATCGGAATGTCTTTTTCTCCCAAATCTCTTGCGAGTTCTATTTTGGGTTAAACCAATCAACTCATCGAAACTAAAAAACCTCAAAAAGAATGTGATACTGTCAATCAATCAAAGATCAATTAAAAAGCAATTATGAAGTGATTTACATCGTATTGGAAATTATGATGTAAATCAGGGGTATTTAAACTGTGGTACTAACAAGGGTACGGCAAGCGTTTTAGGAAGTTCTAATTCTATAGAAAGAT